AGGGGAGTGGGGTGGCCGCAGCTGGGCCGGTGGGTTGCGGCCTGGTGGGCCGAAGCCCAAGGGGCCGGGGAGGGGCTTTCTCCCCCTTTTCTAGTTTTAGTTTTTTCTTTTTTTTTTCTTGTATTTTCTTTCTTTTTACTTATTTTCTATTCTATTTTATTTCATTTTAAATCATTTAGGCATTTTCTAAAAATATGTTTGCTGCACCATAGTTACCCTTGTAATATTCGGCAACCACCGAACATTTTTGTTTCAATTTTTGAAAACTTTTGTTGTTGACATTAATTTGAATTTGAATTTTAAAACGGTTTGAACTAACGAAAGTTTAGCAACAGTAATCACCGATGACATGGCATTATTAGGAGAGTTTTACTGTAGCCTAATTATCCGGGCGTTACATACCATGATAGTTGATAAATAAATAGATTGTAAGTTTTCTTTAAAAAATACGGTCTTACTTTTTTTTCAAAACGGAGGCAAAAGATTTGCCTCATCGATTAATTAAGAAGAGAATTGCCCGGTTAATTAATGGAAAACCGGGCGAAAACCGATACATATAGATCACATGCGGACTACTCGCTAAGAAAGAAACTCCATGACCTCACGGTCAACCCGACAAACATACAAAACACGCAACAACCACAAACCCTGGCAGTTCTATGTCGCAAAGAAACACTCAACAAAACCAATGTTGAATACATTAGACACCAAGAAATCCACGGAGGCGAGCCACTCGGAGATGGAGGACGAAGAGACTGAGTATCCTCCCTTAAGCAGCCACAGACGCCTTATCAGTGGCGCCACTTTTCTTGCCTATGCTCTTGAGAGCCTTCTTCGCCTTCTTTATTTTGTCTGAAGAAACCTCATCCACTAGAAGGCAAGCAATCACATTGCGAGACCCAGGACAAGTTGCCTCCAAGGAGGCGAGCAAAGGTCAAGCTTTTTCACGAAGACCACCTCGTCAATACGTGCCAACATAGCGTCACAGTCAAAGATGAGCGACCGAATGGTCTTCGGCGCCTCAGAAATAGCTGCCAAAGCACCTATCTCATCAACCTCGCCACCCACGGATGCCACCTGGGCAACAACCTCAGGTGAGAGAGCAATAGCAACGTCCAAACCTCCACGGTCCACATAGGCGAGTGACTGACTGGGCTCCAACGACAACGGTGAGGTCGCAGTCGGCATCGCCAAGTCCCCTCCAAGCGACCCCATCTCCTTAGGAACCACCATTGAAATGGGCGAAGTGGGCTCCCCACAAAGCTTCTGCAGCTCAGGCATAATCTACAGCGCCGGAGCCACGACCTCGACAACACCTTCACTCCAAGAAGCAATCAGTACGACGGGCAACAGCAACCGACAAGATGTAGCACGAGGGGAGAGATCTCCATACATGCCTACTTCCCCATTGGCAGAACCAACCAGGATCTCAGGGGACCGGGACAAATCAGGGGCAACCCCAATCTGAAGCTCAGGCAGCGAAGACACATCCGACACGACCTCAAGTTTGGCGAGAGCGGCCTCCGCTCTCACCAAAACACTCCCGACTCGCGCAACGCAGTCACGAAGCTCAGTGCGAAGCAGCTCGGTCTCCTCCGCCAACCCAACTTGCTGAGCCCAGACAAACTGGAACTGCACGTCGGTAATGGAGATATCACCGGTGGATGGAGGCGGTGGAGCATGACATTGGGCCAGTGAAGCTTGGTGGACATGCTTCTTAGCACAACAGAAGCAGGCGATGTGACCAGATTGAAGGCAGTTCGTGCATCGGATTGGATCCTTGCAGGAGTGTGCATAGTGACCTCGACAGAGGCATCGGAAACACCTGTCTCTCAACCACGCCGGCGGAGGACGCCACATATTGATAGCAGGGCGACGGAAAGAAACGGGAATCGAGCGGCACCCCCTCGAGACAAGCTGCCATCCCCCCAACGCATTCCCACTTGAAACTTGACACACGGGGGCTTCCGCGCGACACCTCGCGGTCGAAACATCCTCTCCAATCTCCCCAACCTGGACGCACCGGAGGCGCTTGCATGACGTGCCCGTCGCCCGCAACAGCAGCGGGCACGCCGTTGTCCTCGTCTGAAGCGGGGCCATCAGAGGCAGCTCCCAGAAGGCTGTTGTCTCCGACAGCAATGACGGTCGATGTGGTAGGTGTCGGAGTTGCCAGGACTAGGTCGGAGCTGGCCGGCAGGAGGGAAGCTTGCGTGAGGCAAAGCGTCCCCGCACTGCCGGGTCGCCCTTGCGGGAGGCAAGGTAGGCCGCAGCGACGTCTTCGGCAGAGGGCGTCGGCAGAAGGAGCCTGAGAGGCCGGCGTCGTCGGAGCGGGAGCGCCGACAGAAGCAGCCGAGGCGGCCTGCACCGCACGAGCGGGGTCCCTAGCAGGAGGAGCCGAAGAGGCCGGGATGGCCGCCAACATTGTGGCGGGGAGGACACCGGGCAGAGGGGCCGTGGCGGCCGCCGGTGTTGGAGCGTGGGGAGCCATGACGGCTTAACGGACGGAGAGAGGAGCTAGCGGAGAAGAGAGAGAGCGCGCGACCGGGATTCCGGATCTAGTCTCGCTGGACGCTCCTTTCCTTGTGTGAGAAGCCCGAAAAAGATCCGATCCGAAGCAGCAACTGACCTAAAGCCAGCCAGCGTCAGACGTGACCGCATGTCGCTTCCCGGCTTCCCGCAGTCCAAATTATTGCGGCCAAAACTGTCTGGATGAAAAGAGAAAGAAAAAGGCAGATCCCGGACCGTGGCGTGACAGCAACAGGCACACTTTCCCCCGACCTGCCCTGCGCGGGAGAGTTGACATGCATGCATCCAACACTCTCTCGCCGGCACGAATTTTCACTCTCAGCCCCGAGAATAAACGTCCCGGATGACAGGAACAAAGCGCTCCTTGGAGGCGTCGCACGCAAGGCTCTGCTCGCGAACTGGGACGTGCAGCAACATGGCGCTTGGCAGGACACAGATAGAATAATGGTAATTGGCGGGAGGAAGAGTCCGGGTCAAGGCGGTCCGTGCACATACAGTTCGGTTGCTGTGGTCCTTGTGGATAAGCATGAACGGCGCCGGTGCATGCATCATCGGTGATGTCCCTTTGGTCTCCAGCCCCCCGTCTCTCCTCGGAATTCAACGCGACCCCCCGCCGTCTCTCTCTCTCTCTGAATCTGAATCGAGAGTAGAGTGGGACAGTGGGGGAGGAGGGAGGGCTGCAAAACCTCTCCATGCCCGTCACCTTCTGGTTTCTGTTTTGTCCTTCGAGCTGGGTACCATCCATCTGCTCCGTGAATTATTTCAATTTTGTGAAGGTCAAACAAAAGGCTAATAGCGCTGCTCGCGG